CAATCTCAAGAGCATGGAGGAGATTCCAGGAGACAGGCAGTTACTCCAGGAGAGCTGGGCAGGGCCGTAGAAGCTCTACAACCCATCAACGGGACCGGTATCTACTCCTTTGTACAAGCAGGAGCAGGAGGAGCACTGCCAGAACCCTACAAAATGACCTCCAGCAGGCCACTGGTTTGAATGTCTCTGACCAAACAATCAGAAACAGACTTTACAAGGGTGGTCTAAGGGCCCGACGTCCTCTAGTGGGCCCTGTGCTTACTGCCCGGCACCATGGAGCTCGATTGGCATTTGCCACAGAACAGTGGAATTGGCAAGTCCGCCACTGGCGCCCTGTGCTTTTCACAGATGAGAGCAGGTTCACCCTAAGCACATGTGACAGACGTGAAAGGGTCTGGGGAAGCCGTGGAGAATGTTATGCTACCTGTAACATCATTCAGGATGACCGGCTTGGTGGTGGGTCAGTGATGGTCTGGGGAGGCATATCCATGGGGGGACGCACAGACCTATACAGGCTAGACAACGGCACCCTGACTGCCATTAGGTAATGGGATAAAATCCTCGCACACATTGTCAGACCCTATGCTGGTGCAGTGGGTCATGGGTTAATCCAGGTGCACGACAATGCCCGGCCTCATGTGGCAAGAGTAAGCAGGCAATTACTGGAGGATGAAGGAATTGATACCATTGATTGGCCCCCACACTCGCCTGACCTAAATCCAATAGAACACCTCTGGGACATTATATTTTGATCCATCCGACGCCGCCAGTTTGCACCTCAGACTGTCCAGTGATGCCCAGGTCCAGACCTGAGAGGAGATACCCCAGGACACCATCCGTCGTCTCATTAGGAGCATGCCCAGAAGTTGTCAGGCATGCATACATACACGTGGGGGCAATACAAATTACTGAATACCATTTTGAGTTGCTGCAATAAAATTTCAGCAAAATGGACTAGCCTGCTGCATAAGTTTTTCACTGTAATGTTAGGGGTGTCTTTGAATTCAGCGCTCTGTAGGTTGACAATCTTCATTTCCATCAAATGATGTGGGTTTTTTTTTTTTTGTTTTGTTCCTAACACATCACCCAGTCCATATCGGTATACCGGTAAATAAAAGCATGATTTTTTTGCCCCATTGAGATCTGATGTGTTCAAAGTGTTCCTTTAATGTTTTTTGAGCAGTGTATATACACTGCTATGTGACTCAGTGGGAGTGGGGAGTACCATCATGGTTGACAGTGGCTTCACTATTTTTGGCCTATCAGCAATCCAGTGAATAAGTAGAGATCAGTGATTCATAATTGTCTAGCCTTCCGCAGCGTTCTCCATGCTCTGTCGCTTAACATCTGTAACATTTGACACAAAAAGCAGGAAAAGAATGAATACTCAACTTTTCAGAAGTGTTTTTTTTAATTTTATTTTTATTGTAAGGTGAACACTCATGAGACTACAGAGAGGAATAAAGGTGAAGACCACCGGGAGGATGAATAAATAAACGCCAATGTAATGATATAAACCTTAGTCAGTTATATTAACAAACTGCTGTCATTTTGCACATCTCTGATGTTGCTGCTATTTTCAAATATCCATTACTGTAAAAATGTCCATAGCTGTACATTGTTTACTTATTCTCCAGGTGGACAGTTTTATATTGTTAAAACAATTTACAGTACAGTATTTTATTGTTTATATTTTAACTATTCACTATTATGTTATTCTTATACATTTTTCTAAGGTCCACATTTGTGTTACCATTTTTTCTCTAATCTTTTTGCTGCTGTAAACACCAGAATTCCCCCATTGTGGGAAAATAAAGGGATTTTCTATTCTATTCTATTCTATAAAATGAGTAGAAAGATATAAGTAAATATTAACATTGTATGTATAAAAAATGTATCTTCAAAATCTCTTATATTCAACAACAAAAAATGCTTAATTGTGTAGAATAGTAATAAACAATTAAAATCATATCAGATTTATAGTCCCCACACTGCAGATCTATCAGAATCTGTCCCTAAATTTCAGCTAAACCAATTTACACAGTAACAGATAAAAACCTTTATGAATCAAACATTACCCGCTAAATATCTCACGCAATAACCAAACTATTTTCATTCATTTCAGATGGAACTATCCACATTACTATTATATTCAGTATAATATTAAACTGAACTTCCAATATTCACCACTGTTAGGCAGCAAGTACCTCTTTCCTCTAAGCACAGAGCAGCTGGTTTGGTTCGATTCGCAATGAATCCTGGGAAAACCAAGGATACATAGAACACACCGGACTAATCCTTGAAACCGAGCTAAAATAAGGACACATCTGTAGGCCACATAGCGAGGAGTCTTGGAATCTGACCAGACCTCAGTGCCACGCCATGATGAAGTTGTGACCTCAGTGCCTTCGAATCTAGCTTTGGGAGAACGCATCCCATAAATTTGAACACAGCCTAAGTCTAAATGAGCTGATGGTACAGATCATGCTTCCGGTACGGGTTGGGTAGTGACATTGTGACACAGAACTGCCGCCATGTAAATACATGGGAGGGAAGAGGCAGTCCCATTCNATATATATATATATATATATATATATATATATATATATATATATATATATATATATATATATATACACTTCTAAAAAAAATAAATGAACACAATCAGATTATAGCATCAAGTTAATTAAACTTCTGGGATATTGATTTGGTCAGGTAAGTAGCAGATGTGGTTGTTCATCAGTTTCAGCTGCTTTGGTGTTAATAAAATTAACAACAGGTGCACTAGAGGGGCAACAATGAGACAACCATCAAAACAGGAATGGTTTTACAGGTAGAGGCCACTCACATTTTTTCGCCTCTTATCTCTTCTGACTCTTTTTCACCAGTTTAACAATTGTCTAGGGTCACTGTCACTACTGTTAACATGAGGCGCTACCTGGACCCTACAGAGGTTGCACAGGCAGTCCAACTCCTCCAGGATGGCAAATTATTATGTGCCATTGCCA